ACCTACGCTTTCAGTCCACGTGTTGAGCTCCGTATCAATACACTACGTGTTGCGTATTGCGTATCTGCGCAGCTAAGCACAGGTGTGTGTGTGGGGGGGGGGTCAGATGCTGCCCTGGCTCGTCCCTGTTTCCCGCAGACGCATCGCCGGAGGGCGGCTCGTTCACAGGGGCGGTGGTCGTCGCTTCCGCGCAGGCCGCCAGGAGCGTCGCGCGCACACGCCTGGAACGCATCGGCAGCCTGGCGGGCGGAGGGCGTGGCGGTGTTCGAAGCCTGGCGCCTCGCCCGGCGCCGTGCACGGTTCTGTTCGCATCCTCCTCCTCCCTCCTCCCTCCTCCCTCCTCCCTCCTCCCTCCTCCCTCCTCCCTCCTCCCTCCTCCTCCTCCTCCTCCTCCTCCTCCTCCTCCTCCTCCTCCCCCTCCTCCCAGATCCCAACAGACGAGGTCAGATCCCAACGGGTCGGAAGCGGGCGGGTGGCAAAGGGTGGTGGCCCAAATCGGGGGGCGGGCCTTTTTCAATCTTTGGCGTTCGCCCAGATCTTTCCCCACCCGTCTCAGGGCCCAGCAGCTTCCAAGCTCCAGCAGTCTCTTGGCTCAGAGGGCGGGTCCTTCTCCGACGTCGCTCTCGCCTTCCAGCCCCCTGGCAACCTAGGATCCCAAATCCTTACGTTCCTAACGACTCAAACGGCGAAGGGCTGCTCCTGTCCAAGATCGTGTGCTCGCCTGGGCCGCTGGCCCGCGCTGTAACTACGCCTGTTCCAAGTGCGCGCCCCGCGATGCGGAAGTACAGAAAGTTGCCGCTCTCCTCCTCCTCCTCCTCCTCCTCCTCCTCCTCCTCCTCCTTCTCCTTCTCCTCCTCCCCCTCCTCCTCCTCCTCCTCCTCCTCCTCCTCCTCTTCCCCCTCCTCCTCCTCCTCCTCCTCCTCCTCCTCCTCCTGCTCCCTGTACTGTACTCCCTGGACTTCGGCCAGGCCTTCCCGTCTCTGAATCAGGACTTCCTCATTCTCTCTCTTAGGGCCCTCAAGCTGCCCGAAGCCTTCGTGTCCTTCGTCACGTTCCTCTATGCATCGGTGGAAGGGGTCGTCTCGCACCTAGGCTCGCTAGTACACATCTTCTGGATCCAGAGCGGCATCATCCAGGGTTGTGCCTTATCAGGCACTCTGTATGCGTTGAGTACGGCTGTCTTCTTGATTGACCTGGCCTCTCGTGTGGAGGCCGCTGGCCTTGGCCTGGTTCGGGCCTGTGCTGACGACATTGGGGGCACGTTATTCGCCATACGGCACCTAGTACATGTGTATCGGGTTATGCAGATGGCCTCGGACCTGGCCAACCTCGCCCTGAAGGTCTCGAAATGCAAGATTGTCCCGCTGTCTGACAGGTTCTCGCCCGACCTCTCAGCCACAGTCTCCTTCTGGGTCTCCCATGTGGTCCCCGAGTGGAGCTCGTTCGAGGTGGCTCCGAAGTTGCTCTACCTGGGCCTCTGGCTGGGGCCCGCTGTCGTCCCGTCCACATGCTGGATCGATCCCGTCGCCAAATTGCGTCTCAGGGCCCAAGCCATCGGGCGGGGAACCACTCCTGCCAGCCTTTCCGCTACACTATACAATACACGTGCCGTTACGACCATATCTTACGTTGCCCAATTCTGCTGGCCGCCATCGTCAGTGCTGCAACCTGAGTTGGCGACGCTCGCGCAGGTGTTCCGCATCCCGCTCGGCACATTCGCTCTCGACTTCTGGACGCAGATCGCGCAGTGGGGCGGCCCGCGCTGCACGCGTTGGGGGCACCTGGCCGTCGCCACCATCACACGTGCTGCTCTGCACACGTTCCCAGGCTGGGATAGGCTCCTCCAGCAGTTGCGGAACCACGCGCGCTCCGCCCCGTACGATGCCACCCTGTCCATGCTGGCGACTGGCAAGCCGTACCCATCCTTCTGGTTGGCCCCCGCCTTCGTGGAGAATCTGGCGCTGGCCGCCGCTGGCACCCCTCCCCCTGGCCCGTTGGCCGTCTTTGGTGCACGTGCTGCCGACGCTGCGCTGGCTGAACTTCGAGGGAGCGGCCGACCTCGACCTCGTCCTCAGAGAGCTGCTCACGAAGCGCTTCGGGCCTCAGCGATGATGAACAAGCCCATCACCGACCTCTTCGTGCTCCGCCTGAGGAAGTTCGCAGGCAGATCGGCGGGCCTCCTCTCGAACATCGACTGGGGCGAGTGCAAGAGCGTCCTCGCCCGCTGCCCGTGCTCATGGGCTATGGCCGTCCTGCGCACTTGGTCTGATGGTTGGATGACTTCGGCCCGTATCATCTCACCCGACGGCCAGAAGCACTGCGTATTTGGTTGTCTGGGCAAGCTCGACTCGTTGAGACACTACGCGAGATGTCCTGTCATGCACCGCGCCCTTCGGCAAGCTCTCGCGAGACCGATTCCGCTGCCGTGGTTGGCCAGATGGGGCTTATCGGAACCATCGCTGGCCACCTTCTCGGCGTTGGCTGCCGCGTACAGCATGTACAACGAAGCGAGGCTTGCGCCCGTGTGGCCGCTGTCCCCGTCCCTCCTCCGTAGCTGTGCTCTCGCTGGCGTACGTTCGATGCAGCTCGCGTCGCCGCTGAAGTGCTCGGAGTTCGACCGCGAGCAGCTCGGCCGGCGGGACTACCTCATTCGCAGCTCTTCGTCATCTTCATCCTCCGGGTCGTCTCCACGGCTCACGCCTGCAGTTTCGTCATCGGACAGCGACACGGGCACCGTCTCCACAGCCATTGCCACGATCCCGTCGGACCTCGACGCTGTTGATGTTGTTCAGGTCCCCGCGACGGGTTCACTTACGTGCTGTCCTTCGGCTTCGGCGACTTCCCCCCCGCCTTCCTCTGCGCCCCCGACGATGGCGCGCTCCCCATCGACTCAGAGGGCGGCCCCATCACCATCAATGCCTTTGAGAACTCCTCTGATGGCGCCCGCCTGCTCATCAATTTCGCCGCCGGCCCCGATTTCGCCCTGCTCATGTGTGTCGCCGTCCTCGCCAGTGACGCTGTCGTCCGCGGGTTCTTCGGCCTCGTCGCCTTCCATCGGCGTTAGATCGCAAGTCCCGTTGTCGTGTTCGGGCTCACTGTCGCCAAGTGCTGGATGCCTCGTGTCGCCCCAGCTGGGCCCTGGCGTTAGATCGCAAGTCCCGTTGTCGTGTTCGGGCTACACGTTGCCACATGCAGGATGCCTCGAGGGAGATGTGGCGTTAGAATGCAAGTCCCGTTGTCGTGTTCGGGCTCGCCGTCGCCACAAGAATGTTGCCGTGATTCTGGACGCTGGTCCGTCGGCGTTAGATCGCAAGTCCCGTTGTCGTGTTCGGGCTGGCAGTCGCCACGTGTCGGACGAAATCCTGGGACTCTGGAAGCTCCTCGCCGCTCGACGCAACCCTCGCCCCCGTCTTCAGAGCGTTCCGCGACGCCGATGACCACGAGCCCTCCGATGTCGCGCTCCCCTTCAGTGTCGCCGACGGCAGGGATGACTCCCCCGACTACGCCATCTGAGAGTGCGGCCGAAAATGAGCCGTCTGTATCTTCGCTCCCCCCCACGTCCGTCGCCCCGCTCGCCCCGCCTCTCCATCGCGCGTCGCCCTTCTCTGCCGAGCCCGCTCTGTCCTGTCACGCCACCTTCGAGGTTGGCCCTCCCCCCGCCTGTCCTTCGCTCCCGAGTGCTGCCCCTGCCTCTGCTTGCCCCCCGCCTGCTCCCCCTCCCTCCGCGTGTGTGCCTTCCCTGTTTCCCGCCGTCATTTCGTCGCTCGACCCATCGAGTGACCACTCCTCTCTGAATTTTCCCCGCGGTCTCAGGATTGACCCACCCACCCGAATCTCGTGTTCCCCAGCTGCTGGGCGCACTCGCCGTTATATCTTTTCGACCGTCCCCATCTCTTCCCCGTCCCTTCCTCCGCTCGAGGCTGCCTTGCTGTTGCCCTCTGCCGTCTCGCCTGTCCTCCCCCCCCTCCGCCAGCCGCGGCTCCCGCCGCCACCGCTCTCCTCTCACCAGCCTCTGATTGAAACTATATCTCGGCCGCTGGCCGCCCCGTCGGCAACGACGCCGACCTGTGCCGCTACTTCATCCAGGCCCGCCCCCGCGCGGCACGGCTAGCGCGGCTGACGTACCCCCTTGGTACGCTGGGCTCCTCCTCCTGCTCCTCCTCCTCCCTCTCCTCCCTGCCCTCCCCCCTGCCCCCCCTCCTAGGGCGAGGCGTGCCGCTCCTCGGTGCAGGGGGGGGCGTGGCGCCTCCTGAGGGGGGAGGGAACTCTGCACCGAGCATGGGGGGGCGGGGGGGGGCGCGCGGCACACCTCGGAGTGCGCGCGCGCCCTCCCGCAGCCGACGGCCGTGTGCTCGGCCGCCAGGCTTGGACAGCTCTGCCGGCGCCAGGACACCCTGCGCCGCCCGGCCCCCGCTCCCCGAGGCCCTGGCGGCCGTTGTTCCCCCGCGGGCCTGCGGGGGTCCGGCTCGACACCTCGAGAGACACCCCGGGCAGGCCGACGTGGGCCCAGGCACGCCGAGGCGACGCACAGGCAGCTACGACGAGGCGAATCGTGAAGGCTCCCGAGGGAGGCGCGGGTCAACAGGAGTCGTGGAGCCCTTCACGCCCCTCCCACGGGCCCAGCCTGCCATCCTCTCCCGGAACGCCCCGGAAGAGGAGGAGGAGGAGGAGGAGGAGGAGGAGGAGGAGGAGGGGGAGGAAGAGGAGGACCAGAACGAGCCCAGACTGGGAGGAGCAGAAGGAAGCGAAGGACGGTGGATGAGGAGGAGAAGGATCATGATGGAGGTAGGTGGGGTTGGAGGGGGAAGAGGAGGGAGGAGAGGAGGAGGACAGGAGGACTGAGGCAGACGACTGGTCGTCGTCGTCGTTGTTGTCGTCGTCGTCGTCTTCTTCTTCGTCGTCGTCAGCGTTGGCGTCGTCGCCGTCGCCGTCGTCGTCGCCGTCGTCGTCGCCGTCGTCGCCGTCGTCGTCGTGGGGGGGCCCGGAGCGCCCGACGCGAGGGGGCGACGCGCGGAGCTGGAGCTGCTGACCGAGCTGGGCCACGTCAGGGACTTCATGAGGCAGGCGGCCCAGGACGTGACCACGAACGCGCGTTCGGGCGTTGCGGCGCCTGCTGCCAGGGGTAATTGCAGCACTGGCTGGCTGCGTGAGCGCCCTCCCTTCCGTCCCCCGCCCCGCGGCCGCCCCCTCCCCCCTCTCTCTCGTTCCCTTGCCGCCGGACGAAGCGCGATGCCGTTGCCCGGCTAGCCCGAGCGCGCGTGCGGACTGCCCTCTGCCGCGCTGCGGCGTAAAAAAAGCAGCGTGTGCGGGCGTTGCGTGTTGGGATGTGGGGGGGGGGCGATCAAAAGGAGGACTGGGTGCACCTGCGGTGCCCGAAAGGGCCCCCTCCGGGCCTCAGCAAGGGGCGCCCCACGAAGCAACACCGCCACCGCGCACTTGTTACCATCCGCGGAGCGCCCTGTGGCAGATGGAGGAGGAGGAGGAGGAGGAGGAGGAGGAGGAGGGGGAGGAGGGGGAGGAGGAGGAGGAGGACCAGTGGAAACCCAAGAGTCAGCAACGATGTTGGAATGAACCCTCCATGCAAGCTCCCTCTTGCTAGGTCCCTATAACGATTCATTTCCACCTGAGGGATCTGCCTAGTTGGAAGACAACGATTTGAAAACCAGATGCATGCCAAGACATTGTTCTCTGGATTCCAACGCCACGGATCAACCTGTCTGTTGCGTCTTGGCGATCTTGAATCGTGCCAGAGCGCCATTCTGGAGTTTTCATCACCACAGATCAACGTAACTTTTGCACCTGAATCTCTCCCAAACACCACGTCTGGTATGTTGATCATGGAAATCCATGAAACGTGTGCACTTGTTTATAACGAATGTGCGCGGAGCTAAGGCGAGAGCCACATTTTGAAAGGTAGCCACCCTCAAGACGTGACGCTTTCGAGTTTTTGAGCACGAATGTACGCGGCGCTAAGGCGAAAACCACAATGTGAACACGACCCTCCCTCAATCCGTGAAATTGTTGCAATTTGTTCAAAGAAATGCGCGCAGCACCAAGGCGAGAAACACATGTTGAAACCCGCCTTCAATCCGTGAAATTCGTGCGAAAACCAATGTGCACGGCGGACGATAAGGCGAGAGCCACATTTTGAAAACAACCCGCCCTCAATCCGTGAGGCTTTTCAAATGCTTGAAATGAGTGTTCATGGCGCTACAGTGGAAGACACATTTTGAAGACGATTCCCCCCCCTATCAGCGAAGCTGTTGTCAATGTTGAAGCTTCAGGGTCATATGTGGTGAGGAAGTCTCAGGCGAAACGCCCCGCCCGCCCAAAATACTGGCCTCGGGGCGCGACAGGGAGAAGTTATTTATAAGGAAAGGAAGTGGAGGAGGAGGAAGAGGAAGGAGGAGAAGGAGGCTCAGGAGGAGGAGGTGGAGGAGTTCGCGGCGGAGGAGGAGTAGGAGGGAGGAGGAGGAAGCCCAGGAGGCGAAGGAGGACGAGGATGAGGAGGAGGGAGAGGAGGATGAACAGGAGGAAGAGGAGAAGGGGGAGGAGGAGGAGGACGTGGGAAACATGCAAACAATTAGTCCGACGCGCCGCAGGGCGCTGCCGCAGCGCCTCGCTCCCTTGCGCACCGTGCAGTTGACATTTTCCGGGGCAGGCTCGCGAGCGTGCGGCGTTCCTAAAAGTACGTCGGCATGGGGGAATTGCGTCCTGAGGTTTTGTTGTTCGCCGTTTTTGGTTTTCCGGGGCCATCCACGGGCTCCTGGACTGTCAGACAACGACTCCGGATGAAGATCTCGTCCCTGGGGAAGGCCCAAGGGTCCAGAGCCCGTTTCCCTCAGGACCCGTTTCCCCCTATACTGCGTATGCAGATTCTGGTTCGGGCGAATCTTCGCATTCTTCAGTGTATAATCGTGATCCCAGGTGCGAGCGCTTAGACTGCGACTGAGCTCTTTCATCGCGACGCGACGTGTTGTCACGACCTGCAACCGAGAGCCCACGGGGGGGGGGGGGGGGGGCGATCCCTGGCCGGTGGCACGCCCGAGCGTCACTTTCCTGTAAAGGACGACGCTCAGACATACCAGGCGTGCCGCCGCCACGGGTGGGTCTCCCGTAGACTGGCTCAACGCGATGTGGGTTTCCGGTAGTTTGGGAACCCGTGGCTCGCGCTTTCCTGCAATTCGCTGTGTCGTTCTCGCTCGATCCATTCGCAGATGGGATATGTAGGAAAGTGTGGTTCGTGATTATGTGGTTCCCAACGTCACCGTCAAGCAGCATCGCCATTAGCCAGGCCTTGGGCCTCTCCTGATGAGCTCTCGGTGGTGGTGGCCCCCCGTGCCAGGAAGGGTTGCGGACCGCGCTGGCCGGCCGGGGCCGGCGGCTTGCCAGGACACGGAGCACCGCGAGGCCTTCCACGAGATCTTCGACGAGTGCAGCCGCGTGGCGCGTGTGCGGGTCGCCAGTTGCGGAATGGGGGTATCAGCCGAAGAAGAAAAAACGCCATACGCATAAGTTTTTGGCGCTCCGCGCGGATTTCTGGGATCTGCGCTGGACTTCCCCAGCGGCGCCTCCGGCGCCGCCCCTGGCGCGCTTCGCGCGTCAAGGAGGGGGTCCGGCGCAGATCCAAGAAATCCGCGCGGAGCGCCAAAAAGTTTATGTTCGTGGCGATTGTGCTTCTCCTAATCAGGGGCATCGTTTGGGGGGAGAGGCTCAGAGGAGAGACGTCGACCCAGACGCGACAATTCAACACCGATGCATCGGCGACAGGCCTGCGACAGCGAACGCTCGGGCCGAACGAAAGGGGGGCTAGGGAAAGGCGGGGTTACGAAATCTGCTGCAGGCAGCCGCTTTCGGCCCCGCCGCAGGGCCCGTTCCTCGATACACGGGCGCCTCCCGGTGCCGGGAGGCAGCTACGTGAGCTGGTTCTCTACCCCACCCTTTGCTATCCCCCCCGAAACGCGCACGCTCGTGGGCGGGGTGGGGCAGCGAGCCTCCGGGTCGGCGGCGAGTGGGCGGCCGGGGGTCGGAGCGCTCCCCCCGTGGGCCTGCCCTGCCTGGCGTTGCTCCTGATTCCTGGCGTTGCTCCTGTGCCTCAGGGCCCGCCCGGGCCGCCGACGATCGAGGGTCGGGTTGACCCAAGAGTCAGGAGGGACAACAAAAACACAGAGAAAGAGAGAGAGAGAGAGACACAATTCATCGTCGATCCCTGGGAAAGTATGGGAAAGTAGGGGACGTCGGGGGGGAGACAGAAGCCTAGAAGAGAGATGGGAAAATATGGGGAATCCTGTTGTTTGGGTGTATCTATTTGTGTGTCCCAGGGCCCCTTCAAAGAGGTGCTCCAGCGACAAGGGGGTGATGAAGTAGATCTGGTGCAACTGATTCGTGGGGCGTGCAGTGCACTTGGGGCGCGCAGCACATGCCGGGACGCCACTGCATTGCCGGGTTTTCGCGTGCAAGGCATCACTTGCAATACCATGCAACACAAGTCTCGGGCAGGACGAAATGGGGGGATTGGGAAAGGGGGGGCTACGAAATCTGCTGCATGCAGCTGTTCTCGGCCTCGCCGAGGGGCCCATTCCTCGATACACGGGCGCATCCGGCGCCGGGAGGCGCCGGGGAAATCAGCTACGTGAGCTGATTCTCAAACTCCCCCTTTGCTATCCCTCCCTTTCGCCCGATCCGAAACTCTCCGGCGCAGTACATTTGCAATACGATTGCCCCAAATCTATGGCACCACCCCCCGTCAGCTGGGCCCCCTGTTGGGTCACCCCAAATCGCGGGTGGACAGACCTCCTACCCTGACACGTCGATTAAAGAATTGGCCGTTTTCGGTTCGCGACAGGGCGTCGCGGCCGTCATTTTTGCGGGTCCAGGTCCGTCGGTTTCGGTCCCAGGCCGTTTTCAGTAAAGGGAGGTTTTCTGAGGGGAGGTCTGTCCACCGCTGACCAAAAGGGGGGACGCGTCCGTGCCACGAGGCGGGGGCACGACGGGGACGGCTCCGGGAGATGGCACACATCTGGAATGTTCGGCGCCGCGGAGACCAGGACGCACATACGATCTGCACGAACGAGATGGGCACGGAAAGAATGGGCACAATGCTCAACAGCAGTTCCTGTTCATTTTGAACAGGACTCGCTGTCCACGCCGCCGCGGCCTGTGTCCATTCGAGACAGAAGGCCCCCTGCCCAACAGCGGCCGCTGTTGGTTTGGGACAACATGTGTTGTTGGGCATTGTACGCATTCTTTCCGTACCCATTTCGGGCGTCCAAATACGAGGCGTTCCAGAAAGGGCCTTGCCTTCGAGGATAGAAGGAGGTGTCATCCCTTCCGCCGCCGAAGGCGGCGGAAGGGCGGCGGAAGGTCGGCGGGAGTAAAGCGAGGCCGCCTCCGCCGGCGGAAGCCGGCGCAAGCTCTGCGGAAGGCGGCGGAAGGAACAAATGCGCTTCCAAGAGATGGAAACGTTTTTGGGTACAGGGTTTCCGAAATCCGCCATACAATAGCCTTAGGTCGGGCACGTCCCGCTACAGGAGGAATATTCAAAAACAGTCAGTATCCAGTGCGGGAGCGATTTTTCTACCATTTTTACTATTTTTGAACGTTTTGGGTGCATTTCTAATGTTTCCTTGAAGATCTGCCTGTAGGGGGACACGCCCGAACTAACATTAGCCAGGACGGGGGCAGGTCGGGGAAACATGAGCCCTTGCTCTGCAAAGCGATCGTTTTCTTAGTCCTTGGTTTGCCAATTGGCGCGGGCCCTCGCACCCCCTCCCTCCCCCACCCCATGGAGTGGATGCTGGCTGTTTTGGGCGCCTGTTTCACGCAGGCAGAGTCTACCCCACAGGACGCGCTGTTGCAAATACGGCGTCAAGCAGGGGTCCGGAGCCAGACCCCCTCCCCCTTCCCGCCCTTGCCGCCCACTGTTGACACGCCGACTACGAAAACGCTCACAGAGTCCAATCTGGTCGTCAGTGTATGTTTTGGGGGCTGCGCGGAAGTA